GTTGCGCTGTGTAGTCTGGTCGATGTTTACCAACGTTTCATCGCCCTGATGACGGAGGCAGTATGACCTCTGAAACGTTGGTTAGCATCGACCAGACTACACGGCGCAACCCAGAAGACAGAAATCTTTAAACTCTCCGCTGTGAAATCTTACAAACCTTGGGATATTGAACAGATGAGATTCACTGATAATATTTTGCCCTTACATTCCGTAAGCAAGTTGGAATCTGCTCAGACCACTGGCATTCTACATTTTCTATGCTGGGATTAAAAAATTACCTCAGCAGCTTTTGAATCAGAGATATATTTTCAGTAAATATGATATGAACTTCGTGAAATTAAGCCCAGGGATATGGTTTTGCACAGTGAGCAGAAAGAATTCGTACTTTGCAATATTTGGGATAGAGAAGATAAAATATTTCACATCAACATTAGTAGACTTTGACAGTGTGGTACTGCATATAGCAACCTTCAGGAAGCAGACAAATTTCACACACAAAATTTTCTTTCTCTCATGTTACATTTGAGACATACTGTAATACGAGGCGCGTCCCAAAAGTAAGTTTCCCACTCGTCCCACAGCTAGCAAACCTTATATTGCGCGAAGCGACTGTGCGTACGTGATAGAGCAATGACGTAGCATGGCTCATGCACTAACGGCACTTCCCGCGTTCTCACAGTAGCATCGTTGCAGCTGTTGAAGATGGAGGTTCTTATTCCAGCTCCCGCCGACTGTGAAGTGCGGTCAGTGATAACGCTAGGCCGCACACGGCTCAACGGACAGCAAGTCTCCTGCAGGAGTTCAGCTGGGAGGTGTTTAATCATCCACCCTACAGCCCGGACCTCGCTCCCAGTGATTTCCATCTTTTCCTACACCTCAAGAAATTCCTGTCCGGTCAGCGTCAGCGTCAGCGTTTTGAGAATGACAGAGAGGCGGAGATGGCTGTCACACAGTGGTTCCAATCCCAGGCGGCAGACTTCTACGACCCAGGTATTCAAAAGTTGGTCCCACGGTATGACAAATGTCTCAATTCCGGTGGCAAATATGTTGAAAAATAGCTGGACACTTGCTGTATCTGTTGCAATAAATATTTCCATGAAATTGTGTTTTGTTTCTGTAAACGGCCCCAGGGAAACTTACTTTGTAGACCAGCCTCGTATATTGCTGTGTCGTTATCACCTGAGTTGGTAACAGCAAACTTCAGAAGATAAAAGAACACTTTCCTTGGCCACCTTATCGTCTTTCACATTACAGGGAATAAGAAAGATGGTGGTCAGCAGAATCTATGCTATGTGCACAGATGTTATAATCAATGATATACTTTGCTTCATGTCTGCTTCTGTAACGTGAAGGGTTGTTACCATATTTACCTGACTCTTATCCCAGAAGCTGAGAACAAGTGCATCTTGTTTCTGTTGAAAAGTAAACTTCCCTGGTGTTAGCTTCTTAGATTCTTCAACTAAGTCCTTTGGAAGGTCACAATTCAAACAGATAATTCCACACAATATCGTATTTTTGTCCAAAGAGATTATTTTGTACATAGTAACTGTCCTGGTAAACACAGCAGACTTTCTCTTCAAAGGCTACAGCAGAAACCCCTATGTGCCAACCACTCGCTCTTCCCTCATAAACGTGCACGATAAAAATGCAGTCTGATGTATTTTTGCACACCATATTAACCATTACTCCACTTGTGATGTGATACGCTGATGTGGCAAACGGTCTCCTAAAGAAAAAGTGTTGGAGGTTTGCAGCTACTTATTCTTTATCTTTATACACTTTCCAAACAGGTAACCCTGTAAAGCTGTCCCACTATATGCCACGTAGGCACTTGGGGGAAGAGACGGCATAGCTCCTACTCATTCTTAACCTCTGCACTAGGTGGAGGCAAGTGGTTAGCGTCACGCCCCGGCCGGGCTTTACCCCCGGTAACCATTGGAGAGGAGGATGGGTGGGCCCCAGAGCCAATCTGGACACAAAGGTTAGAGAAAAAATCCCCTGCCCCCATAGGGGGTTGAACCCTGGTCGTCCAGTCCGTAGCCAGTCACCATATTGACTGAGTAACCCCGCGCTAAACAGGTAACTCTGATTTATTTTTTATTTGTAGTGTTCTGTCTGACGACAGGTCCATATATTATGAACAGGATCCTTCCAACCTCTTCAGGTTGTCAGGGACCTGCTCATACATATATACATTCTTGGCAGAGATGATCAGAAGTGGTTTGCCATTGCCTTCTTCTGTGTGTGAGTGGAGTAATTGTTGGGATGCCACGGAGAAACCGGGGAAGCCCCCGGAGGAAAACTCCGTGATGCCTAGACCACGGCCTTGCCCAACACAAGTTATAAATTTGAGCACCACCGGGAATTGAACCCGGGACCCCTGGCTTACAAGGCTAGTTTTCTGACCGCTGATATTTCAAAATAAAATGTACTTCTCAGTCAACCAACCTTTCTCTGCTAACACTGAGCAATTGCTCGTGCAGTTTCTTCTCATACTCCTGGTGCTTTCCTTGTTGCATATCTTCCTTCGTGAAACTTGCTTCATCGTCGCCTGCAACACAGACACACTAATATTCTTATATCATTGTACACCAAAAAATTCCATGCAGAAAACGAAATACTGGATCCATGCAAGATAAAAACATCTATCCAACTTTCTTCTGTCAAAGTTAACTCCATACATAGATAAAATTATTGGGATTAATCAGTGTGGATTTTGACACAATGAATTGGTAATCAGAAATTCTTGACTCATCGGATACTGGAGAAAAAATGGGAGTACAATGGAATTTTAAATCAGATATTTATGGACTTCAAGAAAACGTATGATTCTGTTAGGATGGAAGTATTGTAAAACATTCTCACTGAATTTATTACACCAATAAAACTAGTTTGGTTAATTAAAATGTGTTTAAATGAAATGAGTCCGTACAGCCAAACATTTGGCTGAGGCACTTTCTATTCAGATTGGTCTGAAACAAGGAGATGCTTTGTCACCATTGCTTTAGAATGTGCCATCGTAAAAGTCCAAGAAAACAAAGACTGAATGAGCCACCCCAGCTTCTGGCCTATGCCAGTCATGTTAATTTACCAGAAGCAAACATAAATATCATAAAGAAAAACACATAAGCTTAAACATATGTTAGAAAGGAGGTTAAATCAAAGAAAACTAAGTACATATTCAGGTCACCAGACTACAGAACAGCATAAATGAAGGTTTCATCTTTGGTCTGCAAATAGATTATTAAAGGCCAAAAAATGTATTTGTACTTCTGCATTTCACAAATGGATATATCCGCATGAGAAGAAGTTAATTCACCTGTTTAAAAAAAAAATCCAGCATACTTTCCTTCATAACAGGTTTTAGAAACTTATGGCTGTGTAGTATTTTTTAGTATGCTTCAAGATGAAAGGGTACGCACTACGACTCAAAGCCCAGGTTGAAATGTGCGTTCTCTCTGCTGTCATCTAGTCACCTTTTCATTCTGAGTAACCCAGTTCACCCTGTGAGTGCCCTTATCTCAGAATTGATTTGTAGTGCCTAGCATTGGCAGAGGCTTGAAATATCATCACAGACATACAGACGCCAACCAAAAACTAGACATTTCACCAACTGTTAGCAATTCACTTGCAAGCCTACATTCATCACGTAGTTTGCATGTTTAGAACGTAGCATTCTCCTGCATGTGAACATTCTACTGCTGCTCCCTCTCCAGGGTTCACAGAGGACACATCGATGCCAAAAGTCTACAAACTGTAGTGTCTTACTTCAAGACTATTTATTTATTTAGTGTTCTGTCTGACAACAGATCCATAAGAACAGGATCCTTCTATCCTTTTCTCGGACTGGGACCTGTTCATATACGTTCTTGGCAGATGATCCAGAAGTGGTTTGCCATTGCCTTCTTCTGTGTGTGAATGGAGTAATCGTTGGGATGCCACGGAGGAACCGGGGAAGCCCCCGGAGGAAAACTCCGTGATGCCTAGACCACGGCCTTGCCCAACACAAGTTATAAATGCGGGCACCGCCGGGAATCGAACCCGAGACCCCAGGATTACAAGGCCAACGTTCTAACCGCTAGACCAGACATTACACCCACCGAGGAATTCCAGCTTCGTACGTAATGTTAAGGATTACGAAAACAGGATCACTAGTTTTCAGAAATAGTACCACCACAAGGAAGCAAGGATTTCATCAGTTTCGCGGAGCTAGGGGCTTGATATGCAACACGACACACACAGTTTATTCCTACTATTCATTGACAAAGAATCAATTTGCAGTCAAGGATCGTATAACGAGTGTCGCGTATGTAAAACTCCATTCATTCATACACACACACAGCCTTCATATTGAACCATTAGAACGCAGTTTATATTATAACTTCACTTCCTTATACATCAGCCCGCCTTCAAGAACTCACAGTTATTACGTCCATAATTATACGAGATCCCCCCTGTGGGCCTACACAAGGTTAAGTCCCCTCGCCCAACCCCCAAGCTGTAGGACCACCCCCTTGTCGGTTGTTCGCCCAGCCTTCTTTGAGGACGAACTACAGAAAGTCACATACACAATATAGTCTCTGTCGTAGCAGATTGTTAACACTGCCAACATCGACCAGACTACACAGCGCAACAACCCAGAAGACAGAAATCTTCATACTCATCGCCCTGATGATGGAGGCAGTATGACCTCTGAAACGTTGGTAAACATCGACCAGACTACACAGCGCAACAACCCAGAAGACAGAAATCTTCAAAGAAGAGCGTTGTGTCCTGCACTCTGAATGATGTCATTTTGTAGCTGCTCCTGGCTTGTTAGTGGCTGGGAACATCAGATCACTCATTTTCTCAGATTACAAAGTAGCGCTTTGCACACACAAGCTATATTGTCCTGCTTGTGTGTTGATCTGTGCTTTCTCACCACATTTTTCTTGTCATCACGTACACCACCAGTTAATCCAAACTTTTGTGCCAGACGGCTGATTGCGGATCTTCCCACTGCCTGTCACATGTTGAATTTCGCCCAAAACTGTCTCTGCACAGTCACAAAACCTACGCACTGGTCTGATTCAATGTTTTGACAATAAACACACCCTTTCCTGCTGTATACCGCCATCGTGCACAGCCCACACTGTTTACTTGGCTGTGACGTCCTGATATTCCTCCATCCAATGGCATCAACTTTCACTTTTCGCACTAGTCATTTCATAGAGGTGTATGCGTCAAACTGCTGCATATTTTCCTTTACAAGACACTAATATGTTTAAATACACACTGCTTCTGGCAACACTGAATTAAATAAGAAACAATCAACACAAAGGATACCATACAGAGCTGTCAAACCCACTTACACACAACCTTGATTTGAGTTTATTCCTCTCGCGGTCCTGCCCTGAAGACGAAGCACGTACAATTGAATTACATAAGAGAAAATAAAATCCTCACCTATTTCATGGAGATACATGCAGTCGGCTTTAGGACACATTTGGTTCTTCAAGAAGTATGAACAGTATTTTGTTGTACCTAGGGAACTTCTGATGGTGCGGCCATCCACCACGATATTACCGACTGCTTGAATTGCCCGCAGAGCATCGTCCGGTTTTTGGTATGTCACATATGCGCTGGCACTAGGTCCCTAGAAATGATTACACCATGAACCGAACAATTATTGAAAATGAAAGAAAAAGAGTTATCAACACTAGTAAAACCTTCGCTACATCATTTTAGTTGCATTTATTGTCTACTGCTTGTCTCTGTCTTCACAAACCTTACATGTAATCTCTGTCTTTCCTGACTGCTTTGATCTCAGTGCTAATATAGGGAATGGAAAATAATTTCTGCTAATTAGTCTACCAACAGGCTGCAGGAGGTGGTTTTCTGTATGTACACGATGCAGACCTGGTAATGAATCCTTGCAACAATATATTCAATGTGTTTTACAATTCCTCCCCGAGGGCTGCCGCCTTACCGTGGCGGGGAGGTTTGTGTGTCCCGTTAGGACCCTGAGAGCTATGCTGGCGGGAGCTTAAGCTCCTGGTAGGGTCACCCAAGTCAGACAGGTCGAAGGGCAGAGACCAGACAAAGAGCAGTCCACTGGTCCTCCAGGTTGGAGGTTGGGGCATTAGGCTGACGACCTGATACCCGGAAAATATTTCATTGTCCAGAAAATCGGGATGCCAGAGCCCACCAAGGGCTGTAGTGCAAGAGAAGAAGAATAAGAAGTGTTTTATAATTCAAGTTATCAATTTGTCCATCACAAAAATCAGTCCTTGCTACCACGTCAGTTGTTTTATTACCACAATTTAAATTCATCTTCATAAGTCTCTTGTTGTTAGTTGCGAACATGACTCATACTCGAAAATCATGTTGTGAACTGAACAAAGTTGACCAATATATTCATTTAAAAAGAGCTGGAAACAGTACCAGGAAAGCATTCGACAGATTCTCTACAAAGAAAGATGTATTATGAACATCATACATAAGGAAAGTGTTACAGTTTACACTAGTTCAAGACGAGGAATGCCAGGAAAAGGATAAACCTATAAGATGATAATGATAATTTTTGATTATAGAATATGGAAGTGACCCTGACAATTATGATAGCTATGTAGAAAAAATTTCTGTTGAGTCTCCAGTAACGATTCTTGATCAGAAATAAAAATTAGACTCAGATGAAATACGAGTTCTACAAAGAGCGGAACCATGTAAGCAGAGCCTGAGACAACTTGGAATAACACGCAGAAACATTTCTTGTGTTTGTGACTCATACAGATTACTTTATTTATGTTCAAAAATCCCAAAACTTAACTAAAATAATATACTTTCATTTGGCTCCAAATTCAGAAAAAAATTAGTAAGGCAAGTGGTCAGCAAACAATACAAAGGACACAGAGAATAAAGTATGAAAATTCCTGAGAACAAATGGGACAATAAAAAAATCTGAAAAATAAAATTCTTAGCGACACTTATACTTCAAGTTGAAGTTGATGATGACAATCAAGGATAAGAAAAGCCAAGTTTAAAATAAGTGATATTTTCTAAATCGATTAAGGGGTTGAAAACCCTTCTAGTGAAGACTACTGACGCTTAATGAAACTTCTTTATTTATAGCTTTGAAGGACATTACTTTATTTTAACTAAAATCCTTTTATCTAACATTATCATTGTACCTATTATTGATAACGAGGGTAAAATAATTCTATAGGCGACAGTTCTGTTGTTTGTGTACAATTTAATATTCCTGCTATGTTTAGCATACAAAATAATGAATCTAGAATAGCATACATGTAAATAGTATTACAATGTTAAAAAAGATATTAGATTATTTTTATACCAAACACACCTGGATTGATAGAGGCTACTACATACCTGAGATCCAGCATAGGAAGTGCTCTGATTGATGACAAGCTTTTGAATCTTTCCAAACTTTCCAAAGTATTCATGTTTCTTCAGTACCTACAAAAAAAAAGGTAAATTTGTTAAGGGTGCAAGTGGATTCTTAAAATTCTGAGCGTATAAATGTTTTAATATAATTTTAATATGAGGTGAAGCTTTCGCGGCAACTGAAGTTTATGAAGGATTCTCGGGCTACGAGCCGCGTCAGGTGGCTGAACAGTGAACAGACCATATCTTAATCCAACGGACTGGTTACCCAGCAGCCCTGAGGATGAGAAGAGAGATTTTTCTTGAAACATTGGCACAAGATATGGTTTGTTCACCTTTCAGCCACCTGATGCGGGTTGTAGCCTGAGAATCTTTCATAAATAATTTTATTAGATTGCAGTAAAATTGTAACAGACCATCCTATGGTGAACCTTGCGGTGGTGGGGCTTGAGTACTTCAGTGACCCCAAGAGCTATGCTGGCGGTAGCACAGCTACTGGTAGGACCTCCCTAGCCAGATTGGTCGAGGGGGAGAGGTCAGACTAAGACAGGTACCCTGGTCCTCCAGGTTGGGGGTTGGTCGCAAGGCTAACAACCTTGCACCGTAAAAAGGAAGATGTTTCGAAACCTCGATCAAAGCCTCGGACAGACGGACCTAACAGAGGACCGAATGGAAGAGGAGAATTGAGGAGGCCGTGGACCGAATACGGACCGACAGCCATAGAAGAAGAAGATCCTCTTGTGATATATATTAGTAAAATAAAGGTGCTTTAAAAATACTGCGAAACAGTTTAAATATAATTTAACTCTTCCCTTGAAAAATTATAACCTACAGTGATAGATATGTGCACGTTAACATACAGTTGCACATAAAGTCATGATAGCCAGAGAATGAGCATTTGCAACATGGCTGCACATGCGAACATGCCCCCACCACCACAGCCTCCATACTACAGCCTCTCGGAGGCAGCTGTATGAGACGTCGAGCAGCCTGTGTGCACTGAACATTCCAGCAGCTACTGGTTGGTGATGGAAGACACAGGCAGCAAGTAGAAACATCTCAAGGCTTGTGGAATATAGCAGAACTTACTATGCACCTTTCAAAAGTGAGTACAGCTGAGTGACAGGGTCTTCCATTGCATAGCACCAACAATCACAGGACTGTGTACTGTGTGCAAGCATGAAGCTGATTGTTATGGACCAGTGCAGTTAGTAGTCTGTGTTCAGATATGAATACAGACATGAAGAAGGGCACAGTTATAACTAGTGTAAAGTCTGAGGTTCCATAATAAATACTGTGATTTGTAAAGTGAGAGAAAAAGAAAAATAAATGTCATAACAGAGTGTAAAATAAGCCCATCTTTCATTTTCAAGAACGTTCGTGCCGATTTCTGTTAAAATATGTATCCAAAGAACATGGAATAAGAAAGAACTTTATAAATTACATACGAAAACAACTTTCATTAAAGTTTAACCACGGCTTGAAAGACACAAATCTAAATAATTCTTAAACAAACAGGTGGAATTCACTATTCCCAATGAAATTTACTTTGCAAAACATGAATCCCAGTCCTTCTGAAAAGAATTTCTCCCTTTTAATGCTTTGAGAACCTTCAAAATCTTCAACTCTTGTAACTTGCAATTTTTGTCAGCGATGGATAAGTTTGTTTGATCAAATGATCTACTGGAGTCTCAGTAGTTAAAATATTTCCTGTGTGAACTTTCACACAGAACTGCAATTTTACATGGCACTACAAACCAGAATACAAACATCTTCGTCACTGTCATGACCTGAAATCTCATATTTTCTGTATAGATGGCGTATAAACTACTGCTATCAAAATTTTAAGTGAGAGAATATCAATGATATGGGCACAGCAGACTTCAATTACCTCTGCATCCGCCAGCCTCGAAGGCAACCCAACAACAAACACAAGGTTATGCTGGACAACACGGACATTTGCGAGATGTTTACGGTTCAATATTATCTTCTGCTTGCGTTGTTGATACTTTTGTCTCTTCTGAGTCTTGAGGTGGGCCACGTCCTCTCGGGAAAGAGGTCGAAAATCTGCGGGGTTCTCTGGGTATGCTTTCCGACAAGCCGGACACAACCCATTCTCATCCGTCCGGATTCTGTGCCAGCAGAAACGGCAGATCTGTAAACACACGCGCATATACAAAGTTTATAATTCACACTTAACAGGTACAGTCACAGAAAAGATGTATGAACATTCAGAGCAACGACATACAACAATGCTTATTTACTGAGATAAGAAATTATCGAGAGGTTTCAATAGGTAACATCCAAGAATGACAAAGATGTCCAACATAAAAATTTTTAACAGACAAATGCTCTATTTCTCTACATAATCAATCACAAAAGTGACTGCAATATATGTTCTAGTGAAACACTACTTGTACTATTACCACAGAAAAGAAACCAGGGTTCAGTGCTTACATATCACGCCAAACCTTAGAATTGTTTTCCATTGCAGTCCAAAGGTGTGAAAGTCATTAGATGCAGAGTCTGGGGCATGTGGTGGATTGGCAAAACATTCCCAGTGAAACTACTCCAGGAGTTGCATTGTAACGCGGACTGTATGGGAGTAGGCATTATCCTGAAAAAGGACCACTTTCTCTGTGAGCAAACCAGGGTGTCTACCCTGAATATCTTCGTTCAGGTGATGCACATGTTAAACCCATGTTTCATCATCTCATGCTGACACTAAAAGCAGCATTAGTCAAACGGAAACAACACCAACAAGAAGTTCACGGCATTGCAGATTAGGGGGAAGCTGCTTATTTACTTGTTAATTTAGCAATGCTGTCGAGATGGGGGTGAGTGGTCGGCATCACGCCCCGGCCGTGCTGTACCCCTGGCAAAGGACCCCGGTACCCATTGGACAGGAGGCTTGAGTGGGCCCCGGAGCCGGTCTGGACGCAGAGGCTAGAGGAAAAATCCTTTGCCCCCGTCGAGGATCGAACCCCGGTTGCCCAGTCCGTAGCCAGTCACTATACTGACTGATCAGATGAATGATGAACTGTAAAGTATGTGGAAGGAAATGGTCACAGTTTAATCCTGGCATCTGCCAGGAGGAACAGGAAAACCCAAGTAGACAGTCTCTTGACTAAGATTTGTAACCAGAACCTCCAAAATATGAAACAGGAGTACTAAGCACTTAACCATAACACTTGATGGGAAGGTGTTACCGATGGAACTTAGTTGGGGATGCATAGGGTATTCTCTGGTTTCTGGACCACTTCGCAACAATCAATGCAGACCCTCACTGCACAACACTAAAATATCTGAAGGAAGGCATCTGGAAGAAACACCCTAGCTTCTTCAAAGAGAAAGTGATGACCCATTGCCCTGATGACGGAGGCAGTATGACCTCTGAAACGTCGGTAAACTTCTACCGGACTACACGGCGCAACAACCCAGAAGACAGAAATCTTCATACTCTGATGACGGAGGCAGTATGACCTCTGAAACGTTGGTTAACATCGACCAGACTACACAGCGCAACAACCCAGAAGACGGAAATCTTCATACTCTGATGACGGAGGCAGTATGACCTCTGAAACGTTGGTTAACATCGACCAGACTACACAGCGCAACAACCCAGAAGACAGAAATCTTCATACTCTGATGACGGAGGCAGTATGACCTCTGAAACGTCGGTTAACTTCTACCGGACTACACGGCGCAACAACCCAGAAGACAGTCATATTCAGACTCACCACTGTGAAAACCCCAAATCCTAAATGACAAATCCTCTTTATATATGATCAGCCAGGTGCTTGACGACGTGTGAATTTGACGTGATAAGCCCTCTACAATTTCAGTAACTTCTAGGTTGTATTGCAATGATACGAGCACGCTTCCCTTTCTGCGTGATATGTAACCAAAGTACTATGAATGTAAATGTTTGTATCTTATTGACTAACAGCTACCCCTGTTATTATAAATTTTGAATTTACATATCCTAAGGGACGTGGATCAGGTACTGACTATAATGGCACAAAAAAAGTGCCTTTCGTCGCTAAATATACATCATCCGATCAACAGAGGATAATTTTTTCTATTAGTATGTGACTTGCATACACCAGTTTTCAGTGTAAACACAAAATGATCAAAGAGACAAATTCAATTCAGTATTTAGGTATATATATATTTATATGCTGACCTGATAACCACATGTGCAAGGAAAGAAGGTGAGGTCGTCCACTTCAAGTGGTTCCATGCACAAAGGGCACTCCACAGGTTCTTCCCCACTTTGGTTCAACATGATGACCAAGTATCTGCAAACATACATAAAACAGTAACCAAATGAGGGGGGGAAATGCTGGAGTGAGGGTGGTGGGATATGTTTTAGAAGATTAATTTTTAAAAAATTAATTTTATTACGCAGATCCACAAACTCTGTTGCTGATACACTTCATAATAATTCTCTGTTTTGCCAAAAGAAGAACACACAAATTTTAAAAACCTATCCTTGCTTGTTTTCTGTAATGTTGCACTGTGTAGTAAGGTATAGCGTAACATCATAAAGTCAGCCATCTTCATCCTTGTCATCACAAGAACCTGGAAAATCCAATCTATCCTTGAATTTCAAAATCTTACATGGAAATCAAGAAGATGGCTGTCTTGTGGGTTGAATAAAAATTAGATACAAAATATTTTAATATTTTAGTAAAGACATTGCTGTTAGGTAGGATTTGAGGTTATTATTCCTATAATTCACATAGCCTGAGTAAAGAAACACTAATATAACTATTATCTCATAATGAGACTCTACAGGTCTAATAACAGACAAATAAGAAATAATATTATGTTACTAAAAGCTTCAACAAGTCCCATTCCAATTCTTCATTACTGTCCACTGACATTTCTAATTACCAAAATTTCACATTATTGTACATAGTGTTGTCTGATGTAGTTACCCAAGTAAAGTACATAACATAACAACAAATTAATAAAATAATACAGGTAGAAGCCCCAAAACTCTGAATAATCCTCAAAAATTTCAGCAGAATTAAAATCACCACATGGCATAAAAAATATTACACAAATCTAAGTTTCTAAAAAGTGAATATATGCAAACAAAAAAATCCACAGAAAAGTGGAATGCCACTACTTTCAGGAATTTACACACACACAAAAATATACTGACTGTGTTCAATACATGGTAATTAAAAGAAAAATTACTATGAATAACAAAACAACCCTCAACAAGAAATCAAGATATCCATACAGCATAAGAAAAACAAGTCTTGCCTGAAGATGATTGATCTTGTAAAATTAATATCACATTATAAGGTGTAGAAATACACATTTCCTTCCAACCACATAAACAAGGCTACTGCGAAGGCGTCCGAAACAAGTCAAAGAGGAAATAAATTGTTACTTTACATTTCACAGTCCCTGCATAATTTGGCAACTGACATTCCTGTAACACGCATGGGCATTGAACAACCGCAGTTATTTTGAACTAAAATGTAGTTTACGTCACATAGAAGGTATCTGTCAATCTTGGACAACGCCGACAAACATTTACGTACCTTGATCTATTTCTCTAATCAAAGTGGCCTCAATACACAGATCAAATGTCCAGCAAACTAGCAAACTTCTCTTCGAAGTGAAGCAACCTGTGAATAACCAACCTATAAAGTAACGGAGAATATTTACTCTAACCTAGTCGCTACATTAACGTCACATTCATAAATGGAACAGCTGCTAATAAGAAACGGCATAGTATATGACGATAAAAGACCTACAACAGTAACGTTCGATATAATGACACGAATTGGAACATACTGTTCTGTAAATTAAAATCCCACAGTTAAAAACATTTAAACCGTGTAGTTTTCACCAGTATTTTTATAAACAATTTACATTATGCAGCACTGCACTATCGATCCCTCCTGTTTGTAACTGCAATTTCATGTAGCTTCAAATAAATGCCACTTTTCAGAGTTAATAGTTTACTAACGTTATACAGTGTACCAACACCTCTAGCACTGCATATATACTCAATGAAACAAAATTCCAGCGCACCTCTTTCACGCACTAGTTACGTAAATAATATTAATACTGCGTTTCAAAACAAATCTTACTGTAAAGTCCCGCTGAAATGAATTGTACGTTCGGAATTAACTATGACAATACATACTTTTGTGGTTATGTTTTAACGAAGCTAAAGTTTTCATGTGCTCTGCTCTTCTACATATTTCTTGGGTCAGTGAGCAGGGACAGATGATAAACCCACTACATTTGTGTTTGAAAGAAAAATTGACAGTGGAACCACGGTTCCGGAGAATCTGACGTAAATACGTCTCTGTATTTAAATTACATTTAAGCAACAAATACAATGAAAGGAATGTAGCTGAATATAATGTAATGTAAGGAAATGTAATGTAATGTCAAAATTACCTAGTCTACGACGCACTTCTACAAGCGATTTACAGCTCAGCTCTTTCCGCAATAACGAAAGCGGGTTGTTGACGGCAGTAATGTAACACAAAAATGCCGAGTAAACAGATGACGTTTCCTAGGTAACATAACAATGCACGCAAGCTGACCATTGTTGTCGGTCCATATTTAAACATTGTTGATATGGATCTTACACGTTTTCCTAGGTATCAACAATGCCGAGTAAACACGACGTTCCATAGGTAAACATTGTTGTCGATTTGTTGATACGGATCTTACACATTCCACGTTTTCCTTTCACTTTTTTGCCGAATGACCCTTCCGTATAGATGTATTTACGTCAAAATGGCACAGTAACTGTGACCAAACTGTGCGTTTTGCCTATATTATTAGCTTGCAGGTAGAAAGAAAACAAATGTATATACTATTGAGACCAATGTTACTGGAGAACCTACCAGAATTTATTTACATTTGTTATGTCTCTTATAGTACAAGCCAAGGATGTTAAACATGTCATAGTACGAATATGAACACTTAGTATATTAAAATTCTACAACAAAATTATAATTGCATACTTATACATATTTATATAAATATTTATAGTATTTAACAATTTTAAAGTTAAATAATTCTTCTACACAATAGGAGAAGTGAAATAGAAAATTGGAGACAGAGAGCTGCAAATTAGTGCCAATGGAAAATAATGTTTAATATTTATAGTATAAACAATATATTCTACCTTACCTGTTATCATGGTAAAAATGTTGCCATTATAGTTGTCAGTATACAGTAACTTATCTGTTTTTATGTAATTAAACACTTAATATGCAAATTGTAGGTCCATGTCACTTTGCTACACACTTGGTAACCTTTACCACTGAAGCAACAAATTTCTGAAATTTGTGCTCTAAAAGGGTATTTTTAAATTCAAGATGTCAATTATTCAACTTTTTGTAATTCCTGATTACCGAGTTGTTTAAATAACTCTTAACCATTAAAAGAACAGATTTGTGAAAATTTCATTAACGAGGAATTAATCATAACTCCTGACAATATTGAAGGTAGAGAACAATCACATTCATAATAGCAGCTAAGACCTGGAAGGACTGCTTCAGTTATCATACCAGACAGTACTGGAAGAGGTACATTGGGTTTTGATTTAAATTCCTGCATCGTTTGTTTTAACTTTTTTGAAAATATCTACTCACTTGCATTTGTTACGTAGTGGTGAATGTGAAAATGATTAATTTAGCCTTGAAAGGCTGATAAAGGATAAGTACTGATTGGTTTATTTATTTTCATCTGTGGTTTGAGTAACAATGCTGCAAGTAGCTGAGATTGTATAATATTACATGATAGGATGATAATTTAACAAGACTGAAAAATGTAATCCAGAATACTCATTGTTTCCACACACATTCTTTGCAGATTTTTTGTTACATGTGCGCTTAGCCATTGGAAATAGATTTGTCAAGTCATCAACAGTTTTAAGTAATCCCTCAATGTTGTCTATCTCCATCTTAACCAACCTCATCTAACCTAACCTAACAAATCAAAACATACCACAACCTAGCCTAATCTGACACAATCTTAATTGTATAGTAAATGTGGGGTGGTTTGGATAGCACTGAGAGTTGGGGGCACTGTCTTGGTACTTCTTTTAAAGACAGTCATGTCAAAAGTTGGTAATGCAACCTACAGGCAAGGGAAGAATGAGCCTCCTCTCCTTGAAATATGTTGATTATAGCCCCCTAGACACTTAAAAAATATGTTGCATAAAGCCAAATAGAATATAAAATCATTTACTTTAGTACTGAAAAGGTATGAGTTCATGAATAATATAGTATTACTTTATGAAAATACTTAAATAATTTGAAACTATTTTTATAAACCTTTTACCTACAGTGGAAATATAACACCTTACACATTTTTTATTTACAACTATTGATATTGCTAAACCATTACTCCTGGAGTTTAAGTTCAGCATGCTGCCCCATAATATCGGGGTATAATCCCCCTATTACTGTATGATAGATATTAAAAGTGTAAAGCTATCATTAAGAAAAAATTATGTTCTAATAATGTTACTTATGCCCATTTCTTTCTGAATGTAACCGCATGCTACACTGTGCTAGCATCCTGCAAGGGAGATACAAGATAAGAGTAGACGGTGAACAGGAATGGGAACAATTTATAATGAGTGTATGCAACTGTCATATTAGAATAAATATATCAATACGTGAAGGAAGGAGGTGAAGGGCAAAAACGGACATAACCTCAATCAGAATACTGGGAAGTAAACCAATGACCTTCAGAATACAAAGCATAAGTGTTAACCATAAAACACCCCTGTTTTGTAATGTGAGAATGTTTCTTGATCAATGAAGAATTAGCACTGCACAAAACCAACAAAACGAACGTCATGGTTGAGTGGTTAACATTCCTACTTTGTATAATAAATTCTTCTCGGGCTACCAGCTGTGTAAGGTGGCTTAATGAAGAAAACACAGATGTTTCGAGAACCATCTTCATCCTCAAAGAATTTATTATACTTAGTCGCCGTGAAAGCTTCAGATCATACTCCTGCTTTGTATGCAGGTCCTGTGTTCAAATCTCAGCCCCAAGACCGGCTATCTGACTGGGGTTTTCATGATTTTCCTCAGTCCTTCCAGGCAAATTCTGGAATAGTACCTTAAATCAGGCTACAACCACTTCCTGCTACATACTTTCCAATTCACTATCACCCTCTCATTCCGAGCTACTGAAAAAGCGTCGTTAAATAAACTACAAAATAAAAACCAAGAACACAGGTCATATAACGAGTTCGATGAATGGTTGCCAGTGTCATACACCACCAATGGAGATAGTTCTGTTCTGTATTCCTTTTATTTATAAATTACATGGTAACTTCTAACTTCTTTCCCTTGCCTTCTGAAACGCATACAATTCTATAGAATCTTTTCACCCACAAAACTGAAGAGCCTCGCCGGGTAGAACACCTGAATAAAGTAGTAATCGTAGAACAACAGCTGTGTTCTATCTGCACTGAATGACAGAAAGGGGCAACAGGAAAGAAAAAGGTTTATCAACCACTTTGAATATACCACTTTATCACAAAAATAAAATGTCTTGAGTGAATAAACCTTTCCACCATACAGCGGTGGTATATCAAACCAAGTACTTTACACTGTATAGCAGTGGTCCCCAACCTTTTTGTGCCTACGGGCACATTTGAGAGTTTATGAGATCGTGGCGGGTACCAACCAATTAACAAAGCCAAATTTTCTTTTCTCTGGACAAATAAGATATGGACACCAAATAATACTAAAAAAACACGACGTTTAATGATATAAGAAACCACGCAATAAAAAATATGTAGTTTTATAAGTACAATTATTATTACTCAAGTGGGAAGTTAGTGTGATGTTTGGCGCTGCATTTCATCGGCCAGTTTTTCAAATTTGGGAGTGTAGGATGATGTTGCTGCTCGCAAACAATCGTCAAGATGGGTGCCAGTAAGTCGAGATCTGCGCTTTGATTTTATAATGTTCATGGTTCAACAGCCTTCATTATTCAGTGTAACCTCTTTCTGTAACTTGGCGGGCACCGCGTTGGGGACCACTGCTGTATAGTATACACATAACACAACCTTGGAAATATTTATCACTGATGTTTTCATATTAAGTTGTCATGGAATGTATAAATAATATTTTCATGATTAAACTTCAACAAAAGACCAACAGTTGTGATAGAAAAAAATTAGGAAGACATTTAATTACGGACACTTCTGGCATGGTGATTAAAGATGAGTTATGTATCTTTATTAAACATTTAAATACAGTTATGTTTATAAACTACACAATAGACTGAACATGATCCCAAATGATATGTATGACAATGATTTGTATAATAACTAAAATGACTGAAACGCCTTATTATGTTAAAGTTTTCGCTAGAGATGGGCTGATGCCACAGCTGGGCCACAAGTAAAGGAGAAGAAATTATAATCAATGGACGATACAAAATGTGAGTGTATAACTTATGTATTATTTTTTCATATTTGACTCGTGGATCAATTTTAAATAGTTAATATTTTGTAATTTCTTCCTCGTAATTTCCAGCTCCTTTTGAACTCCTGCTAAATGCTTTATTTTCTTGATACAAAAGTCAAGATTTTTATTAATTTCAATGGAACCATCAGAGATTGGGTATAAATATTTCTTAAATATAATTTGCAAAGTGCTCAAAGCGTAAGTAGGACCTGAGGCTCAAAGTTTATTTCACTGAGGTAACCGTTATGCTTTGACTGTGATTTAAAAGTCAGATACGCTCCAGAAAAAAAAAATCCCTTCAATATCAAGCACGTAATGCTGATCAGAAGTATCGCTACTAATAAAACCATCTGTTGTTATGTTGCCAGTGATGGTTGTATACATCAGATGAATCCAGGTCTCATTTCAGAAATATAAGAAAACCTTGTTCAAGTATATTCTCAGTGTGCCCTCTCTGTTACAACATTGTTTTTTGCTTTTATATTCTATTAAAAAATTAAAATTAAATCCGTGGCGTAACAGCCCCCTGAGAACCAAAGCCGACTAGCTGGCCTCACGTTCACATGCCTAAGCAGAGGTGAACGATCATCCAACCAGATATAGAGCAACGTGCGGTCAGCATGACGAACCCCTCCGCAATTGCTAGTTTTCCTGACTGGATTACGCTACTTATTGTAGCTCCCCAATTTCCTTACGATGCTGGGTTGGCACCGGTCCCATACACTGGCCGAAAGCTCATGAGAAAATTTCTTCTCCCCCGAGACTCGAACCAGCGCGCATTCCGTATCGCCGGTCCGAAGCATGATGCCTCAGACCACGCGGCTACAGCGCGGGACTTTATATTCTATTATTTTTGTATTTTTTAAATTTGAAACCAATGTCCTTCGACACTCTTTTTGAATACTCTGTGTAGTTATGAAAATGAATGCCTCCTTTCAAGATTACTGATAATTTATTTAATAACGGAAATTCTTTTCTCCCTGTATAAAAATTATAAATTACTTTCCTGATCACACGCTAATCAAAGTCACGAACAATTCATGTTGAAATGTGCTGGGTGATTTTATTTAATATTACCTGCTTTTCTCATTTCACATTTTATTGTTTCCACTTTTCAAGTTGCTGAATCCGCATGTTTCCTTGTACTGTCAATTGCGCAATTAACATTTTCACTTGACATTTCTTGATCTCGGTCTTCCTGCTGGCATTTCGAGCTTAATGTCGCTATGAAAGCGCGTGTAATTTGCGAATAATAATGCAACAAACAAGATTTCCACTGAATTTTTAACGGCAATCACACTACTTAGAGAATAATATTCAATTTCACTTGCCGACTTGAGCAATGATGGTGGAGTATGTCCAGTATGCGAGTAGCTTTTTAACATGCGTTGAGACGTCCCATCTCAATGTGGGATCCAGACATGTTGCACTCTGAGTTATACCACCTGCTGTTCGATCCCAGTGCGGCAGTTGCTTCAGATGCCTGAAAATGATCATGAAGGACATAATAACTCAAACTGTAGATAGAATGTTTACATGCAAAATAAAGGAACAGCAGAAATTATAAATTAGTAATATGGTGATATATATTTATTTATTTAGTGTTCTGTCTGACGACAGGTCCATATGAACAGGATCCTTCCATCCTTTTCTCGGACTGGGACCTGTTCATATACGTTCTTGGCAGATGATCCAGAAGTGATTTGCCATTGCCTTCTTCTGTGTGTGAATGGAGTAATTGTTGGGATGCCACGGAGAAACCGGGGAAGCCCCCGGAGGAAAACTCCACGGCCTTGCCCAACACAAGTTATAAATTCGGGCACCGCCGGGAATCGAACCCGAGACCCCCAGGATTACAAGGCCAGCGTTCTAACCGCTAGACCACCTCATCTTATTATTATTTAGTGTTCTGTCTGACGACAGGTCCATATGAACAGGATCCTTCCATCCTTTTCTCGGACTGGGACCTGTTCATATACGTTCTTGGCAGATGATCCAGAAGTGATTTGCCATTGCCTTCTTCTGTGTGTGAATGGAGTAATTGTTGGGATGCCACGGAGGAAAACTCCGTGTTGCCCAGACCACGGTCTTGCCCAACACAAGTTATAAATTCGGGCACCGCCGGGAATCGAACCCGAGACCCCCAGGATTACAAGGCCAGCGTTCTAACCGCTAGACCACCGTGGCCACATGGTGATATATAAACATACATAATTTCAAACTGAAAAATATAAGTCATTAACTGAAAGGTTGAAACCTGCATCAAGTTGCCAAATTTGTAATTTTAACAGACACAAGGTTCAGTTTAACGCTCTGATGACTTATAAATTTCCAGTTTCAATTACAATAACAAGGATTTTAAATAACCCTTATGATTTCCAGAGGTCAGACTCTACTGCGATTTAAGCTTTGGAAAATACATTTCTTACGTTAGGGGCACTGGTATAGTGTGCCTCAGCATTGTGGTCTACAAAGGATGTACAGAGATGATTGCTGCCATGACGCAACTTTCTGCTTCCTCCGACAGGGCCCATGCTGAGCGAGGTGCAGTCAGTGTTGGAGTAACAGTGTCCAGGGCGGAGTGGGCTGCGGAAATAACCCCTAAGGTTTCCACAATGCAGCCAATGGCGCTTCAGTTCGGCTTGAACCTCGCCATTCAGGAAACAGTATAGGACCGCCACAAAGAAACCCTGAAAACAGATCACAAGGCACTGCTGCCAGATGGACCACATCGCTCCAAATGTCATAAATGTAACAGTTTCAAGGACACGCAACTTTCTAAACTTTCTTAATTGTGGCCTTATGGGTTGTAATCCCATACAGTAATTCAGGTGGTTACCAACATTTCACCTTCATCTTCAAGGCAATATGTTCCTCCAAAATATTTGAAATCACCTACGAGTCTACTTGGTGTAAAAATCGCTAAGACCACAATCAACACTTTTGTTACTATGAGGACCTTAATCTCAGATTCTAACCTTTGCCTCCTTCTTATTAAGGCACATATTCACATACAGAGGAGTAGCTACTGTCCGATACTGGTAAGTACGGCCGTATTTGAAGGGACGTAAGCAGGTATGCAGCATTTGGTGTAGGTAAGGTAATGCTCTATGTATTGTGCAGTGTTGTCTCAGTTCGAAAACCGTCGATTTCAAGTACAGACAGCCTGAGTTGTGTACCGGACAATGAGCTGGTAAATGTGTTTTGCACTGATAGCAGTCACGTCGGTTGCAACCTGTAGTCAACCCCCTAGCACTCGTCGTCCTCCGTCGCCCTGCTTCCTTCCAGTGACAAACTTACCGGTCTCGGACTACAAGGGCCATATTCTCACTTGGATGAATGGAGTGGTTGGAACTTTCAAGTACGAGATGACGGAATATGGCAGTCGCATAAGAATTACAGACTGCATCACCGAGTGCATTCACTCATTAATTTCAATTCGCGATATAATTACGACATTGAACTGGATATTGTTTTCGGTTTTGTAACATGCGAAAACTCGTCGGAAGCTACACTGAACAGCAAATGCATTTCAGCTTTTTTAAGATTAACGTAGTGTTCCGGGAAAGTTAAAAGGTTGATGTGTTCATAATTCAGATGCAGTGCGATGGTATATTGATAAATGTGTTCTTTAAAATGACTAGAACATCGTTCATCTTCATTTGATAAGTAAGATCTGGCATGAAGAGTCCAAAAATTATATCTATAGCAAAGCTGATGTACGGCTCTGCGGAGGGAGGGAGGGGGGAGAGAGAGAAGAAGAAGAGGAGAGAGACAGAGAAAAACACACACTCTAAACTAGATGATAAGAATTCAATCTGTAAATTTATATGGGATATTCTTATTGCGTCTGACCTGGAAGGAAGCAAACAGCTGGTCGCAGAACAGCCAGGCTATCTCAACGCCTGGATGCACGCCGATACTGTAGCTCATCCCCAGGAACACCGTGTAGTGTACCCCAAACAGAGGGACCAGCACTAGTGTAGACTTTGCCCATCGTCTGGAAGGAACATAGTCGGGGGCTATATTTAATTTATTCATAGTTCTCGCAAGAGAAACACAATGGGGAGGTCATGTCTTCTTGTTTATGTCTACTATCTGGCCTCATGTAACACGTCACGCAATAAATTTAATTTTAATTAAATGCGAAATTACATCCACACTGTATGTTCACGGTTGAATTTCATTTTATTTTTTGTTACAGGCTGTCTACTTCATATCAAGGTAAAATTGAAATTCATCAAATTTCTGAATGCAAATGAAAGATGAGTGGGAAAGTGTACTACCAATTGGGGCAGATTAAATGGACTGTCATGTTCAAAGTAAAATTAAATATTGATTTTGAAAATCTGTTGTTAAAGAATTTTTAAAAAGAAAGGAATAAATACAACATATATTATATATAAATTTAACATATTGACATAAATAAAATGTTGCTAAAACCTGAATTTTGTAACAACAGAACATTATTACTATCCATTGGAATCCTTTTTAAAAAAATAGTTGGAAAGAAAATATTAAATTTTATATATAATCCTTTTTGTTGTTAGTAAATATTTAAAAATATATGTAGTTTATGTCTGTAAATAAACTTACATATCTGTTAAATCTTGCATTGTCCCTTCATTTTTGTAGAATGTCCAGTGTTTTGATTCTCTGTAAAAATATATTTCCCTACCAACGCCGATAATCAGGAGTCTACTGTAAAAGTTATATTTACATGAAAATGAAATGTACTACGCTGATATCTACCAAAATAAAATCTGGCTGACAACTAAGCTCCGAATTTCATAGGTAATAGATGAAACATGAAAATGAACACATGTGTTACCTCCACTATACAATTATTTAATGCATTTCCAAATTTGGTACTTGTGGGTTATCGGGACACATCACTTTAAAAATAGGTTAGGTTAGTTGTCATTTATTGAAATAAAATATAATAACTTTCAAGTATATGTCATTTATCCACACACATTAAAGCATTTTTAAAGCAATGAGTCCCGATAACCCACAAGTACCCCAAATTTTTTCTGGATACAAGACATTAGCCGACACACTCAGTTTTAACAAATTATAATGATTTTTATTTGCATTTAATTATCTCTTCACACTGTAGCATTTTAATAAACCTAGCGTCATTGCAGTTGTTCAGTTTGTATATTTACCTGATTAATGGCATTCTGAATGGTAATTATGGTTCAAAGTATGGATTATTGGTGATATAAAAAGAACTGTAGAATTCAATGTTCAATTGGCAATATCAGACACCCCACTCCTCATATTAGTCCACTGGATCGAGGGTTTACTGTATTGACAAACCCAACCAACAGAAGATATGTCAAACCACGCAGAAGTGTACGCTATCATTTCAGTGTATTTGTTTAAAGATATAACAAATGTTGCAAACAAAAACTACTCGCGACTGAACTTTTGCCATTCTGGTAACATTTGATGTAGAGTGTGATTGCAGCTTCGTACATATGTGGGTTACAGTGGACTAAACTTAAATTTGGTTCACAAATTTTAGATCTTATACCATTTGATGAAACTGAATTATGTGGTCTCAGGAATAAAGCATTGACATGGGTTCAAAACCCCGATGTGAAGAAGGATGAGAGGGAGACCACGGAAACGATGGATAGATGACGTGGAGGAGGATGAGAGGATGATGGGAGTGAGGGGATGGAGAATAATTGTGAATGATAGGACAGAATGGAAAAAACTCGTCGAACAAGCCAAGACCCACATAGGGTTATAACGATACAAGAAGAAGACGGGTTCAAAACCATATTAAACTAGAATTGTGTGTGACAGCGTAATCAAAGTGCATGATCGTACCCCCACCTGTAGGTCCTGGTTTCATCACACACCGAGGCCCTGAGCTTGAGGAGCAGCACACGGACAATGTTCACAAACAGCATAAAGTTCAACTGCAACACAAACATAATTATGCTCGAACCGGTTTGAATTTCAGGCTTAAGAGCCACGGATGTTCATCCGCAACTTTCTGTGTCATGCCGTCCTGTATCGGTAGAGGTCTTGAGAGAGGCCAATCACTTGTTCATGGGGTCCTACCAAATATTTAATAGATCAAGTAATTTACAATTACTTAACTTAGCCCAAAGAATAATGAAAGTCACATGTCCCAAAATAAATCCAAGAAACATATATCAATAAAGGTTCAATATGAAAACAGATTATTAAATATGAACAACAGTCCCTACATTAAAATATTTTAATCAGAATGCTAATTTTGGAACACGCTGTATACGTTCATTTTGTGTACAGGTTGCAAAGAACACATAATAAAGTTGTGACATCCACTTGCTTCTGTATTAAAAAAACTGGATATGCTCGGTAAAGCTGATAGCTACTTTACTCACGAGTATGGAGAATGTTGTGGGTCCTCGTATAAGGAGAAACAGCAGTTCACTAGAGTTAGTGGTCCAACATAATGTGTCCTCGAGCAGGGCACGCCCTACTACCCATGGCAGCACAAACAGGGCTGGCAACCCTGCAAAAGTCTCGTGAATTACGACGGGTATAAGGGAATAATAAATTTCTCGGAATGTATCGAAAGAACAGAAGATTGTGAAAGTTTCAGAATGTAACAATATAACTCAATTAAAATTTCTATAAATACGTTATACTTATCATGTGACAAATTTTAATGGGCGACAGAAGATTTTAATTAAACTAACGGCTTCAGTTGGAGTAACCTGGTAAAGAAGGAAATATTAAATTATCCTTTTGAGAAACGTGAAGAATTTTAGGTTGAGTTCCATGAAAAACTGAGGTCACAGCACCAACTAATTCAAGCGACAAATTTTTGTACGGTCACCAAATATCAAATTTCACTGAAATCCATCAAACAATTTCACAGAGTAAATATTCAGATGGACAGTCTTCCACATTATGCTTTCGTTTCACGTACTGTGAAAAGAATGCATAAAGGGGATCTTCTCTTGTTCAAGCTCAGAACTGACTGGACTTATATCGATCTTATTTATTTACTTCAGATTACTTTGTAACTCTAACTGAACAAATCAGAGTTCTTTGATGAATTTTCGTCATAAACTGAGTTAAGAGTTTCTTCAATAAAATATTTCTCAGGACTTCAATGTACAATAACGAAATGAATAATTTTGCAGAATATATATATATATATATATGCAGAATGCTGTTGTTATAAGCCTACTTACTTCCTTAAGTCAATCTTGCTTTCTTAAGGAATTAATAACAATTGTTCAACTAGCAAAGTAACTCCGTCACTTATAGAGCCTGAAAAAAAATCATTAATGTTTTAAAAAATTCGTGACATTTTAGCCAATATTCTTACACCTCGCGTCATTATAATATTACCTTATTATTATTTTCTAATCAACACCAAGTCCCACACGCGGTATATTACATTTTCAGCCCGGCCCATATAATCGTCTCCGATTTTATCAACGTAATAAGAAGCCCATTCTGCAGCCTCATTCTAGTTTCAAGTTTCTCCAACAGAATTCGCCCTCGGACAATGGCCGATCTGAATTACATTCTTCGAGTAGTTGCTACTTACCCCAGCCGAGCAGCACGTACATACTAATGGCGCTGGTGTCAGAGAAGAGGGCCATGAAGATGAGATTGTGGAGGTACAGCCCCTCCATAAGGATCCAGGAGTAGTTCGCCATGATGCAATATTGCCACACACTCGTCACTGTCTTGCATAGCCAATTGTCCTGTAACAAGGCACGGTTCCATAACGTGCCTCAGTATCCTGCAAAGTGTTGATTTTTGCCTTCTGGGCTTCGTCTGAACTATAGTTCTCGTTCAAGGTCACAGCTTTGTTCGTCACTCACCTGATCGTAGAAGTAGGATGACCCATCCTTTTCTATGACGTCCATACGTAAGCCGACGCCGCTAACGAATAGAACGTCCTTCAAAAGCGCCATGAAGGCGCGCATTATGAACGACACGAACAGATGAAGGTGTAGCATGTTGCGAGGACAGCGCAGCTTCCTGTGGGCGAGTTCGTGAGTCATCACTGCATGAAAGGGGCAAGGACAGCGGTTTCCTGGGAACGGGTTGCAGACGGGACAAGAAATCCATACGTAATTTCTACCGGGAAACCTGAAGGAAACGGGTCCACTTGGCAAACCTGCGTTGAGATAGTAGAGTAAGTAATAATTTTTGACGGAGTGAAGTGCAGTCAATTGGCTCAGGAGAGATAACGTAATGAAGTCGTGTGGAAACCAGCCATGAACGTTTTCAAGACAGGAGCAAAATTTTTTTTAATAAATTTGAGCGAATATTAGTTTCTGAAGAAGGACCCAACTTTAGAGACTTTGCCTCTAATAACTACTGTCCACAGATGGCGATAAAAACCCTGTTGGGGGAAGTCGTTTCTGGTGCGGTGCGGGGGGAATGTTTACTGCCAGGTGGACTAGAGGGCTGCTATTGGTGGGAACTGTGATACGTCAGAGTTTACGGCTACTACACAGACTGAAAACATCACGCAGTTAAGAGTAGCGTGTAGTGAGTGCATCTGTACTGTGTTCTGTGGGCGTTGCGATAATATTATAGATTAAATCGCTGTGCCACTGTGAGGTAATCTTAAAGCTGTACACATTAGAACACGTGAAAGATTGTCGTCTGTTGTTCGTTCAGTGGTTGTGGAACGAATGCTTTTAGGATCGGTCGTCAACTCACCGCGAAATTTGCGCATGCGCGTATATCGAATTCTTAGCAGGGATTTTCTCCTGGTCTGCGGACTGTATTGACGCTGGTTTACAATTCAACTTACTTTATCGAGGCCAACATGCAGAACGCGATGACCAACGTGGAGAGTGACACGGCGTACCCCACTTGGGCGATTGTCTTCAGGGCGGGGAAGTACCCCTGGAAAACAAAATAAGGTTTTCTGCAGGTACTTTCAAAGTTTAAGCATTAGTGGGCAGTACATAAACGCCTAAAATTTATTTATTTATTAAATTCTATGGGATTCTTAAGAACTCTACCGCACAGTTGCCGATGTTTATAAATAACATTTCAGTTTAGTAAAAATATTTTTGAATATTTGCATAAATATGGATTTGTTACGTAGACGTGTAGGATATGAACAGCGACAGATTAGGACTGACCATTGTTGTTCACGCGATTCTGTGTCGTAAGGGTCTTTTTCACGCCATCTGCTGTGCACATGCTCTGTGTTCTCACTTAATTCTGAATCGAACAATAAATGCAACAAAATTTTCTGCTGGAATTTTGTATATACGTTTACGCTCAACGGCAAGCAATTCTAACCCAACACGTTCTCTTTTCCACGGTCATGTTGGCAATGAGGCCTACAGGATAACTGGGTTTTTGCACAAGATTCAAAAGAGAACGTTTTGGAGTACAGGACAGTTTCAAAGACACTTTTTACGCCACTTAAACGTCGACGGCGGTCACCACACATGCGCACAAGATCATGGGTAATGTAATCAAAGACTCAGATCACGAATTTTATCATCCCTTACACTGTATTAACGAATGGAGGTTATGTTAGAAACACTAGATTGTTTGCCTGTAAGTACCATACAAAATCTGGCAAGAATCCGATCAACTGTTAACGACTTGTTATACTAGTTCCCTGAATCACCGATAGATGGTAGCTCGATCTCAGCTGAAAGCCGGAATAGACAGACTTTAAAAACAACTGAAGGTCTTTGGAACCTCGGCTGCTTACCAGACGCAAGTGAGACTTTTTATTGCCGGAGACACGAGACGTCCATAACTTCTCACCGTCCTTTACACAGCATTCCAATACAAAGACAATTGTCTGTCGAAACGCTTTGTTCGTCTTTTCACAACCTTCTAGCAGACACTAACATCTGAGCACGGAATGAAAGCTGGAGAACAGGAAATCTCATCGTCTGAAATCTTTTCACACGAAAGGCGCACTGTGGACTGAAATGCAGTGGGATACGTTACCGACAAGAAATTTGTAGTCTCTGACGCGGATAGAATCCTGGTCTTCCGAGCGTCACAGATGCCATCTACTAGGAGCAATGAATACTAGTACTTTGTATTTAAAAATGTTTGAAACGAGAGCTAAAGATCGATATTTTCGTCATGGACTCGCACCAGTTGCAACTGTAATTTATTAAATATGGCAAATCTGTTGTTAGGATGATCGAACTACGAGTGCAATATGGTCACGTAACACGCATGGAAGATATGACAAATATGTTAATCTACTAGAAATCGATTAGTATTAAATTAATCGGATGTTTTTCAGATCAAACACGAAATGATACCAACGGACGGAATAATCTGAGATACGTTTGTCCTCACAGTTCACAGGACCGAGTATTTGGTATGAACTATTATTGCGATAAAAATCTCGCCACTGATAGCTTTTGGGAGAACCAAAATAAAGTTATTGATTCCAAAAAAAAAATACACTTTCTCTCTCGCTTGTCGAAACGTGAATTTGTAAGACCAATGGTTATCTTTCCTGATTGGTGGAATAATTTAAATTCAAGTCAAAATTATCCTCCTGACTGCTGGATTTAGCAATCGAGATAAAACCTTAAGAGTGAAAAACAATGCAATGTTATTAAGTCACTTAGACCAACTTTTATACTTAAATTAAAATTAATGCTGGTCCGAGCTCCGACTGAAAATTACTGAGCTCTGCGTTGCTTACTGAGATGAGAGGATTATTATCAAGGTCGCTGAAGTTGACGGGGACTGTGATGGTCAGTTCGTTGAAACAGCTGCTGTAGTTGGTCCACGTCTTGTTATTCTCGTCCCTGAACCACTCGCCTCTCGAGAGACACAACTTGGACGCGTTCGCCTGCAACCACACCGACAAATCTCAGCTCACCAATTGACACGAAAATTTTGTTTTGAAGCAACTAATTGCATGAAACAGAATCGTCTCTTCACTCAAATCCCCCCTCTGGTCCCAAAAAACAAACTATTTCCCCCCCCCCCAAAATTTTAATATTACATTAAGATCGATACTTGCGTCTTCCAATTGGTTTGTTCCACTAAGTTCTTCCAAATAAAA